GATGGTAGAATTGTAGTCGCGGTTCATGCCCGACTCCTAGAAGCTTCAGATGCACCCGCATCCTCAGTATGACTGATCAGCTCATGGGGTGATAGTAATTCCGACTTGGCCAAGCTGAAATCTACTTCTAGCACTTCAACTAAGGTGCACTCGAATCAATCTCAAAGGGCATTGGCATTTCATGGCCGACCTGATAAACAAAAAAAGGGAAAGGCAAGGAAGGGAAGACTTTAGAAGTTCCATTTATGGGAGAATGGCCTACACCTAGCGAAAATAGAAGATAGGTTGCAACAAATTAAATTCTACCGAGCTCGTAGGCCCGGAGTATAGCAGTCATAAAAATGTTTATTGGTCAGTTATTTTTCAGATATCATATATTTTCCATATCATAGTCGAACCCTATATGGAAAGACAAATCCTCCACTAATCGTCATTCTCGTTACCACCCTCACCATCATACTCATCGTTGTCGCCTTCCTTTGGAGTAGTTGCCTCTTGCTCGACCTCTTGGGTCAGATCGTTTGAAACCGACCTAAGAGAGATATAGCCCAAGTCAAGGTCCGGGTACAAGCGTCGAAGAAAGTGGTGGCACAACATGAAGCCCCTCTTCAAAGAGGTACTGCCACTTTGATTCTCTCCTGTTCAAACTCTGAAGATCGGTGAAAGTGCTCAACAACAACAACTTCAGCTCAATGAATATCATTAGAGTGTCTGGCCCACTATTCCTAGAGCTCGCAGTTCAGACTAACAATAGTCCCCCTAGCTTCTTCTAGCTCATGGTTCATATTCACGCTAAGGGAACAAAATCGCTGCCGGTCCTCCCCGACGTTGAGACAGGCTGCTTCTAGATGAGATTGGAGGGTCCCTATATAGGCCCTCATCTCACAAGACTCACGCTTTGAGGTAGTGACTTGATCTAGCTTGACTTGACCTAACGAGTTGATCTGTGGATATAAAAATAGCTTGGCAAGGGATAAATAAAACAATGAAGCAAGTTTTTCTCAAGGATGTATACCTGCATGAAATTCCGGATGATTCGTGCACTGAATTCAAAGGGATCAAGCTCATGATACACGCAAACATCTTTAGGAAGGAGAATGCCCCTTCCATACAAAGTGCCACGTGCGAGTCATGAATCTGATCGGTGGTCAAGCAATTGACCCGTGGAACGAATGGAGGGATCTCTAGGCTGTAAGGTGTTGTTACCTCATTGAAGTGGGACACACTTGCCCATGGTACTAGAGCGACGTGAGGAAGGTTGGTCTGAATTGGGTCGCTGCCCTCCTCCAGGTCAATTGTAGCATGGTGACCTTCTTCAGGCCTCTCTTTGACCGCATGGCTTGACTCACCAACCACCCTCCTCTACGATCAAATAAAAAAAACCAACTGAGGAACAAAGGGTAAGAAACAAAATTTGAAGGTAATAAGAATAGTGCGGCCTACCTATAGAGCTAAGGCCGGCCTTGATGAGTATCGATTCGGCTAGGAACTCGTCAACTAAGGAGCGATGTTCAACGAGGAGTCTAAGGTCATTCAGCAACTCCTCATTGAACTCGACTTCGTATCTTCTTGGCTCGGCCCTCCAAGTCATCAACATTGGCCAGCCTTCCTCATAGCTCAGAAAGAAGAACTTTGTCTTCCAGTTCACAATTTTGGATGGAAAACCACCCAAAAGCTTAAACCTAGATTGGTAGCTGATGTTGAAACTGTAGGGCTCATTGGGAACC